GAATGGCAACAGGACCTATCAAGGTGACAAGCTCGGTGGGCCAAATACATGTCGCAATACGACATCACTATCAATTACATATGAGGCAATGAAAATTGTGCAGCAGACACATTATCAAGACGAGTGGACACTGTGGTTACAGATATTAGTGCAGCTGTGCTAACAATACATAGTGATACCAAGCTTTATGATCTCATCCTGAAAGGATATGGAGAAGACGACTGGTGCAAGAAACTCCATGGCCTTCTAGGGTCGTTGCTGGGTCTGACACGCAATGAACATGGCTTCTTTTACATTGCAGGTCGATTTGTCATCCCTCATGTCAACAACCTTCGTGAACACCTGTTCCACATGGTGCATGATGCAAGTGGACACTTTGGTGCGGCCAAAAGTTATGGCTTACTGCGTAACTCATATTATTGGCTGAACATGAGGCGGGACTTGACCAAGTCATACATCCCTTCATGTGCATCATGTATGCATAACAAGTCGAAAACAACGGCAACGGCAGGACCATTGCACCCTCTGCTGGTACCAGAGGAGCATGGTGACTCTGTGGCAATTGATTTCATTGAGCCTCTGCCCAAAGATCATGGCTATAACATGCTGATTACTATGACAGACAGGTTGAATTCAGACATCCTGCTGGTACCATGCAAGGACACCATCACAGCCAAAAGCTTTGCGACACTCTTTTTTGACCATTGGTTCTGTGAAAACGGACTGCCTAAGGAGATTATTTCAGATCACAACAAGCTTTTCATGTGGAAGTTCTGGCACACATTGTATAAACTGATGGGCATTAAGGTCAAGATGTCATCAGCTTATTATCCCGAGATGGACGGCTCGAGCAAGCGCTCAAACAAAACGGTGATGCAGTGCTTGCAATATTACATAGATTGCAACCAAAAGAACTGGGTACAGGCGCTCCCTTGGGTACATTTTCAAATCATGAGCACGATAAACATGAGTACTGGCTTTGCACCATTCCAGTTGCATCTGGGGCGCTTGCCAAGGATGCTACCTCCACTCATGGAACAAACATCAACATCAGAAGAACCAGAAGCAAAATGTGTGCAGTCACTGCTGTCGAAGCTGAACTTCGATCTAATGGAGGCTCAAGACACCTTGATCACTAGCAAAGCTGCTCAAGCAAACACCGTCAACTAGGGAATGATGTGGTGATACCCCCACCCACACCCACCAAAAACCCACACCCACACTGGAGGGTGTGGATTTATTCATGAGTACCAGAGATGGCTACCCATACCCACACCCATAGAGGGTATACCCATGGGTATGATATGAATGATTGGTACTACACACTTAGATATCTTAATGAATGTTGTAGTAGTACTGGAGACAAATATACTGCTAGTCTCACCTTGTTAATTGGCAGTCATTTGAGAGAGATAAAGCTAAATAAAAACCCAACACCAGTAAGTCTCTGAAAAATGCAAAAATAAAAGTTGACATTATCCTTGTAATACTAGTTGAGACAAGTCTGTTGTGAGTTTTATCTTGTTAATCAGTAGTAATTTGAGCAAAATAAAAATATGTATTGATGAGTTTGGCCAAACACAAGTTGTTATTATCATTATGTATCTTGATGAAAATTGTAGTGCTATTTAAGGTGAGTCTATGGCTAGTTTATCTTATCAATTAGTTAACATATCAGTAACATAGGGATTGAACACTACTGAACCAAAGTTCAAAGTTGTGTTTCTATAGTCTACATGTAACATGATAAATGGAATCAACATAGATGACAAAGATATTATTATTGAAAATGAAGTTGTTGGCTATTCAACCTAGGCATACCATTCACTGAGACCACTACTAGCATATTTGACAAAGTTGAATCACATATCACAGTGCAAAGATAATTTTTTGCCTACATACCCACTGTGGGTGTGGGTAGGGGTGTGGGTATCCTAAGTGCCTACCCCCACCCATACCCCTGGGTTAGTGATGGAAAAGTCCAGTTTGGTCCGGTTCTCCAGGAAATTAGGAGAACCGTGGACTGGACCATTGGTTCGGTTCTCCTAGTAAGCAGAACTGTGGACTGGACCATCGGTTCAGTCCGAAAATGGTCCAGTTCTGGTCCAGTGAGGGTTCAGTGAGGGTTCGAACCGAGAACCGGACCATCCAAACTAATAAAAAATTCGTCAAGAAAAATTATATTGAAACACGCCCAACAACACCTCACGTTCACGTTCACGAACGAAGATTCAAAGACTGTTCATTTACTTCTATTGATTAAGGCAGGTTTAGTTTCGCTCACATACTATCTCTTTCATTCCGAATTTCAGGCCATCGCACTCTTCAATGCAAATCAACGAGTGGACGGAGTGCAGCGCCTTCAGGAACTTACCATCACTTGCCCTAACATCGATAACACTGCATATGGCGTCGTAGAAGTGAGCATCTTACATTCAACAAAATCCAGGTTCTTGCGTCGATTGACAGTAATTTTTCTTAATTCATACTTTAGGCTTATCTTCTTGTCTGACTGGGTACCGATGCCTTGGATGGTGGGCATCACAACGAAGCTGCTGACCATTTCGCCGAAGCTGTTAATGCCATTGGCTTTTCGTCTGAATCAGCCATTCATTCTACATATGAGGACTTCATTATGGTATGTTGATGTGATGCAACCGAATGTGCAGAAATGGTGTGAGGCACTTCTTTGCGCGGGTAGACTTATCGAAGCTGTTAGATCATTTCAATATATGATGGATGAGAGCGATGAAACTATGAAGGCCACTTGCCTTGATTGGTCCATTGGCAAGTTTTTTCAAAGGTGAGTTGATAGTCTCATTGTATTACATCCTCGCAACTGAACAGACTTGCAATGCCAGGCCAACAAATCTGCACTCCATGTATGTAACACCTTCATTCAAAGATCTTGTTGGGCTCAACATACATACACTAGGCTAATGCTACACGACCTCCAGTCCAATGACGTCCACCTGCTCGTCAGGTACCCCATGTTTGTTTCAGTTTGAACAGGTTCGAACCTGTTCAGAACCGGTTCTGCAATTCTGCAAGTCCCCGAACTGCGGACTGGACCAACGGTTCGGTCCTCCCTATTGCCCGAACCTTGAACCGGACTTCGGTCAGGTTCGAAATGGTTCAGGTTCGAACCGCGGTTCAGAACCGGACCTGGCCATCACTACCCTGGGTACCCACACCCATGACCCACAGTGGGTGCTGGATACTGTTAAGACCATGCACAAAGGGTAGGACTGATTCTGAGGGGCTTGGCTTCAGCTCGTGCGCTGCGCCCCTTACCCGAGTATGTGCCCTTAATTTCAGATTGGTGTCTGAGGAAAGTCCAAAGACGTCCGAAGGACATCCGAAGGCGCGGGAAACTTCGGAAGGACTTTCTGGACGGGTGCAAGTAACTTCCGGATGAGTGCGGGAAAGTTCCGGAGGAACTTCCGGAAATTACGATGAGGTTTCGTCCTGATACGGATATGTATAATGACTACTCAGGACTTGTCCTGAGTAGAAGTAAACAGAGGAAAGACTGCAAGGACAAAGTCCGAAGCAGAATAGGTCCGGAGGACCGTGGGAAAGATCCGGATGAACTTCCAGAAACTACGGAGGATCGGATGAGCGGATGAGCAGATGAGCGGAGTATCGGATAAGCAGAGCTCTGGCCTAGGGAGAAACTCCCTAGGCCTGAGATGGATAACAACTAAGTTGGAAGACTAGAACTGATATGAGGACTTAGAGTGAAGACTAGTGTGAGGACTAATATGATATTCAGACTGAGGTACTACAAGACATATACACGAGTTTATATACTAAGAGAAATAACGGAAGGATCAATAAGCAGAGTCCGAGGCTATGTATGAATCATATGCAAAGTTTGACAAACGCGAGTCGGAAATGAACATAGGTTAACAGATCAGTAAGCATACCGGTAATAGATATAACCGAGGTACTGGTAACAAGGAATACTGGATAGGCTGTGTTAACGTTATATGCACAGGAAATGAATTACAAAGCTTATCGTATATCAGATAGGAAACGGATCTATACATCGGATCGGACCGGATCGGATATGGTCCGGACGAGATGCGTGGATATATAGGATGTGGCATTAGAGCAGCAGGACAAGGATGAATGATGCAGGCTAGCTGCGAAGGATAAGGGATCTGGATGTGGACATGCGGATGTGGATGTGCAGAGGTGCAGGGATCCAGATGGGTACTGGAGACATGGATAGGACATCCGAAGGTCCAGATGAGGCGTGGGAATATTATCGGATGTAGGTCCGGAATACGGGATATGACAGATACCCATGACATTGCCTACCGTCAACAAGAGACGTGCCGCATACCTTATCTTGCAACAGGGAGATTGCGCCATGCTGGCCACAAAATATCGTCATCGAGAATATATTCAAAAGGGCGACAAGTGGGTAGCAAAATTCATGCCAAGATACGATGGACCTTACACAGTCATTGAAGACCATCCAGAAAGCTCTACATATACCCTTGATTTGCCAAATTCTCCCAACATCTTCCCCACGTTCCATGTTAGTCAATTGCGACCATTTAAGCCCAACGATCCAGCTCTCTTCCCCTCGTGAGAACATCCTAAGCTGGGGCCAGTAGTGACTGAATATGGACAACTTAAAAATTTCATCAACAGGATCTTGGACGAAAGAAAGGTTGGAAGAGGGAAAAAGTATCTTGTGCGGTGGGTTGGTTTCAGCGAGGAGGACGATGAATGGTTGCCACGGCGAGACTTGGAAGACTGCAAAGTGCTCAACACTTGGGAGAAAGAAAAGTCTGAACCATGGAGGGAAAGGGTGTAAGCATGATGCTTACATGACGCAACTTATCTATGATGTCAGATGTCTTTCCTGCGCACTTCTACCTGATTGGACACCTCCTGGGACGTGGATCCCTATATATACAGCCTTCTATACATACTGAGCACTCATCATACGATACCCCCAAAATCTCATACATTCATCCATGTTACTGCTGTCCAATTGACCGTCAGTGTTGTCGTCTACATCGACGAAATTACAATAAGCAGCCAATATCCTTCACAGTAGGAACATTATCAATTTGAGGTGCTACGGGGAACACGGATTATAAAAGATAAGCTAATTCACACTGAAGCAATTCAAATTAAGTATGCTGGTCGCCGAAAGCTGCACAAAAAATTAATGTCTAATTCGATGATTCATATGACGTCGGCGATGCTGCTCCACCGTTCGTTCCGTTAGTGAGGAGGGGTCGTTGGTGGAGCATAACTGCTTCCATGTGCCTAAGGAAGCCATAAATGAGGTCACGATATAATATATCAGTTCTGAACCTTACTTGTTACGTTTAGGGTTGATGCAGCACCAGTGGTATCCTCTGCGAAGATCACAGCCATACCCCTAAAGAAGTTCAATCAAATTGATCACATGGTGGCAAGACAACACCTACTGTTCCATGTGGAAGTCGATGTGGCTAGAAGATGGCATTTGAATTAGCCAGGCACAAGAACAGTATCGAGATCGTACCAGTGCAAAAACCATGGCCCTGGATTATCGGTTCTAAAGCGAATTGTCACGTTGTCACCCGATCTGCCATTGCTTGTCGTATCCCGGCGTACAGGATTGACGTAGTTGTAAACGTCACTTCCAGAGCTTCTTACAACGGAGAAGGGGTGCTGTGCGATACATGAATCAGAGTGCCAACAGGATATAGCAAGGACACTCACTCCGTGTAAGTGAAAAGGATGCTAGAATGATGGTGCATGAGAAGCATACGGTAAGGAGATATTGGGATTGCCTACCGGTCCCTCAGGCTGTCCGCCAGGTATGGACACCTCGATGGTTTTATTGGCAGGCAAAGTGTAAACCGATCCATAGGGTTTCAGCTCAGAAATGTCCAATTTTCCGTTTAAAATTTGCATTAAGACCGGAGTCGGAGGCGAGGTATAGGTGTAGCCATTGATGAGATAACTCATGCGGCCATCCCATACGGCTTCTAGATTTATCGACACGTCCGCGCCACCGGACTCCGCGACACCGGGGGCTGAGGGGTTTACCAACGCATGCAAGTTCTCTTCGCTCAAAGGGTTGGTCAAGGTCCAATTTCTGGGGATGGGGTCTATTGCCGGAGCTCCATCATATTTAAGTATCGCAGAGTTGAGACCTCCTGCAAAACTCGTATCATAATTGGGCATCGCACGAATCCAGTAGCTGTCGATCGGCTGATCTGCAACCAAGATGAAAGAGTACCGTTGCCCGGCCATAATTTGGATCGAGTCAACTTCCAGAGGCGTCGTGTATTCGCTGTCCGCCTCGATGACTGTAAAAACGTGGTTATCAATCGTAAACACGTAGTTTGGTCTGCATGCCATATTCATTAACCGAATACGGTAGCGTTTTCCTGGCACGACGTGTATGACAGAAAGAGGTAGCGGTGGTCCACTTGGATAACGTCCCACACCATTGATGAGAGTCGAAGCGGGAGTATCGGCAAGGGCAAGGTCGTAGGCGTTCACGTGGTACCTTTGATCAGAACGTTTAATCAAAGCAGTAAAGGTGCTGATGATCTTACCAATCTATGAGAGTAATGATGGTCGATTCTATATGATCGTTAGCACATTCAATTACGCATGTAGTCAAGGTTTAGACGGACCGTCATCAACATCATACATGCCCAGGTAAGGATCCTCTGGGTCATAGATGACCAAAGCTCCCCTCATACCTTCACCTGCACGAACGGTGAGATTTGTTTGCACCAGTGAAGAATGAGATCACCAACAGTACTGGAGCTGGAAATGTGAATGATACCTGAGACACCGGTAAATAGATGAATGCAAGGTAAAACGATATTTCTCACCAAAATGTGCCACTCTGGTCCTCTGGCGTGAATTCGTACATGAACGAACGCCCAGACGCGATGGGGCACTGAGTCACCATGGGAGATCCATCCATCTCAGCCGACCCGTGCTGATTGATTCCATGCCAGTGCTAAAGCGAAGTCAGCACCGCTCCAGAATACAAGAAGATACTCACAACGGTCGTGCTCTTGTTCATCGACTCGTCCACCAACAAATTCGTGACGTTCACTTGGAAGCGTTCGCCCTTAATGAAGTAAATCTTCCTGGTAGGGATAGTCATATAAATAGACCACTACCTTCTGTGCTGTGAGGACTGGTCCAGGAGTTTGGCCGTTGACCACGATGGCACTGGAAATGTTTGTTGAGCATGAGAAATCAACCAACCGCGTGTCAATAACATACTTCATTGAAAAACCGTCGGGGGCGACAAGGGCGTTTGAAATGAGAAGCTCAGCATTGAGTGCCGCACAAGACGACACCAAGGCCGCCAGAAACCAGGTAGACATAGTTCAAAACTTGGCTGTCACCAATGCTACTGAGAGACTGTTGAAACTTGAGTCCGAGGTCGCGTACTAAGTTGTTAAAATCATTTTAGCATCCCTCTCGTTACGTATTTTTCGATCGGTCAATATTTCCTCTGGGTAAAAGTAGCGAAGTCGCGGCAAGCCAGGAGGAGAGATTCATGTCGTGGGGTGCTGAACAACAAAGGCCTTCGCCTTGCCTTCGCCCGACGCTTTCCCTATTGGCAAGTACTGACCACATCATGATGCTGCCAAGTTGTATAGGATTCACAGCTCCAGACCAAACCCAGACTCAGCATGTTTGACGTGTGACTATCAAACTAACCGGAAAGGAAAAGCTCGGACGAGCTGAACGAACAAGGACTAGCCGCCCGAGCAAGGGACCGAATTGCATAGGCAAATGAAGTGATCGGTCTCCATACCACTGGCAGTCTATTACGTAGTACTGCGGTGATCTCGTGAACCGATCACGATTTTCCAGGGATTTTCCTTGAAACGATGCGCCTGCAAGGCTTCGTCAGACACGTCGTTCCACTGGGTCAATAGACATCCTAGTGTAATATTGAAATCATCCAGGTATTATCCACCAACAGTCCCAAAAGTCTAAGTAGCCATCATAATAATATGATCATATGCAAGCCTGCCACGAATCGCGGTGCATGGGAACATATCGATAACAAGGTGGCATTAATCCCGGCATGTCCAGACAAGCCCATACGTCATGAAGTACGTTAACATCGCTGCGCAAGAAAATCAGAGTCCAAGATAAACATATGCATACAGAAACTGTTCGAAAATTATAACCCTGGTCACTTGTCTTGTTTGTCTATTCCACTGCTGCTGCCAGGGTCATGCATCTTATCCTGCCCTGGAACAGCTCGTGCGCTGGGCGATGAGCGTTTCTCATCCGCAGCACTTGAGTCAGCACGCGGCCGTTTGCGTGATGAACGCGGCGACATCAGTGTTCCTCCATTAGAAGACTTATCCGGATGAAGGTCACCACCGCGTTCAGCGGAGTAATGCTCCGCATCGCGATCTCGTTCCCATGAGAGACCATCTCGCCCATTAGCGGGGGGTAGTGTCATATGGAGCTGTTGGGCGCCTGACTGAGATGCATTCTGCGACAGGAAATCGAGCCAGCTAGGGTCCCCAGGAGGCCCTATTACAGTCTAAGGATATTTCCACTTGAAGAGAAATGTAAAACATACCTGATTCTTGCGGTGGAGGTTGCGAGGGAGGTGGCAGCGGCGGCTGTGATGGTCCATGGGAAGGCCAATCAAGCGGCGCGTATTGTGGACCTGTGCTTTGCGGCTGCCGATGCTCGTCGTTGTCTAAAAATGTGGATAACAAGGAGTCTGGAGGTTGTTGAGAATGCAAACCGCTTGAGTGGGTGTGTTGACTTGGCGAATGATTGTGCCGCATTAGCTGGTGATACATTCCCTGTAATTGGGGGTCCTGAGGTTGAGAATACGATGACCGTTGGCTGCTGTAGCTGTTATTACGCGGTAAATTAGAGCCTCGGGACGACGAGGACGGGAAGTCAAAGTTTGAAGGCAGGAAAGACTGCGGGGGACTATTTGACACTCCCATATATCCGTTATACGGAAGTTGGTGAGACGATGGACCGTTCGATCGATATGCAGTAGAATGAGCCGATGTGGGTGAAGGGAGATAACCACCATTGTACATAGATTCGTCCCCTGAAAGCTTGGAGCCACTGCCTCCATGAACGTTGGGCGCTAGACGGGGCTTCTTTTGAGAGCTAATTTGACCGTTTGGAGGGAGCAACCGACCGGAAGACGAATGGCGTTCTGTGGAAATAGGAAGTGCAGATCCCCCACCAGACGATGGAAGCTGTGACGAGTGGTGAAGGGGCATAGGAGGGGGAGGGATGGTCATAGGACGGTGATAATCAGCCATCTGTTTCAGAGTGAGCGAAATGAGAAGAAAAAGATCAAATGGTGATCTCACGTCAACGTTTAGACCCATTTCACCTCCTGAAGGAATCAGAAGTTTTGCATTGTTGCTATATTCCGCTTTGAATTTGGGCTCGTGGCGCCTCTTGCTTCCACGTGTGGGAATAGAATCTGGGTCGTCGTCGTCGTCACCCTCGTCATCGTCAATATCGGCGTCATGATGAAGTTTGGCGTTGGCGTTGTTCGCGAAATCGTGGGGAGTGCGGGTATCCTTCTCTCCATCGTACTGAGCAAGAAAAAAGTCGGTAAAGAACAGACCAAAAAGAAAAAGAAATTACTTACACGAACGTGACGCTGAATGATATCGTGGATGTCGCCAGAACAGTATTGATAAAGTTTCAAGTGATGACCCGCACGTTCCTCTGATGGTGATGATGTTCATGTTAGGAAGGACACGCATATATGGGATATGGAAAAAAACTCGCCAAAGATGACGACGGCGACGTCAACAGAGCAGAGGACGCCAAGTTCGTAGGCCTTTTTGAAGAGACCATTCTTACGCTGTAAGGAGGTGAGGATAATTATAAGTTATCAGCTGCCAAGCTATTAATGGCAAAAATAGCCAAAGGCTTACCTTTAAAAAAGTTACTGAACGATTACGCTCGTGCTATGTTTAAGAATTACAGAGAGGGTCGTTAATGATGGATCAAGAGGAGGTCAAGTAAAATTGGAGTAAAGCGCGCTGGCACAACCGCGACCGAGAATAGCAGCAGGCCAACTACATAACAAAAATGAAACTTACGGTGATCGGTTGGATCTCAATTTTTCTCCTGCCCATTTTACTATCGAAAGGGATGAAGAGACGATGAAGGGAGAGATGATGGGAGTACAGAAGAGAGATGGCAGTGGGCGAGAGGATGGGAGCCTTGTCTTTGAAGTTTGGATCTTTCACTGGCGGCAAGTAATTCCGCGAACGGGTGCCGAAACCCAAGCAACTGCAAACGGCGCTCATCAGATTCAGAGATCGGGATTAAACCCACAATTCCGGATTTCACCGGATTCTATCATTTTATCTAAATTAGGCAGTAAAGTTCATGAAAAGATCAAGCTAAAATACCAAATTTGGTTAAACATCTTTCGTTGAAATGTCAGGCTGATTCATCCAATAGTAAGCTTCCTATGAATCATCATCTCTACCCTTTTTCTCACACTAACTCACCATCCCGCATCTCCGCAGCCTAACCTCGATTCAACCCAGCGAGAGTCGAGCCCCTCGGAGGCACACCTTTTCATGTCCGCGTAGTAATACTACTAACAACTAGTTACTATCTGCGCAGTACGTTTCTCCAACACTTCAACTGACACTGCAACCGATCTTACAAGTCTCATCTTCACACCCCTTGTTTCGTCAGTGATCGTGCCTTCTACATAGGTCTTCTGACTCCAGGTTCGGATCCAAGGACGTCCGTTTCTTCATCCCAGGCAGCTGACTTTTGCCAGTGAACCGAATTTTAACCGGCATTCATACCAAGTCGGCCGGACTATCGTACCTGATCGAGTTTGAGTGATACTCAGCTGCGAAGCGACGTCACTCCTACAAAGCGAGTTTATGATCGCTGAATAACCCAAAATTATGATATCGCCCAAAATAACAAGCTAGCTTGTTATTTTGGAACATTCATATTCATGTGCGTATTTCTGTCCATTAATTTGGCCCCTCTGAAGCTTGTCAATGTAGCACACTACAACACTCGCCCAACATCGAACTGATGCTACTGTAGAACCCTGGCGCGTCCAAACGGCGCCCCTGTGTGTTCCATGTCGCATAGTGTGTGATAATCACGCAATCCCTTCCAGGCCGCCGTGCAATATACTTCCACGCCTACTAAGTACCATATCCTATGCGCTTGTTTGTCTGCCTCGCGTCTCCATCATTCCCGGTCTTCCCGTAAGCCTTCTCGCCATCCGCAGCTTCATCTATAGCCCATCTGATCCTAATTGCAACCGTATGTTCTAATATAGACATTTCACTCTCACCCAGATTCTCGAAAAGCACCGTGTCGACGAATGCGAAGCGACCTTTCCCCCCACTCAGATATTTCAGGATCCATGTCCTCGATCACTCTCTTCAAGCCCAGAGCACCTAGCCTGGTGTTTCATACGGTTAGCGATAATTATTTTTGTCGCGATAACTCAGCGAGCAATAATTTGTTTGTTATAGCCGTTGATTAGGGCATATCGGATGGCCTTTCAAAAGCGTGCAGGAGTCTGTTATCGCAAACCGAACCCGCATACCCCCAAATTTCTCTCCGTACAAATCCCTATTTCCTATGTCCGACATGAATTATTCAGCAACTTGCCCAATCCTCAATAGCTTCGCTGATTTACTCCGTCTTCGTTCCGAGATGCCGGCGGCATGCCATGGGGTCAATCAAAGGTGGCAAAGTTCGTTGCTTACCCACTCCACAACCCTAATGATACCTTCCAATTTCCTTTATTCGATATCCTCTGTGTCGATGGCATTTTCGCGATCTCCTGAACATGTGGCTTGTGTCAGTGACTGTCTTGTTTGCTCTCACACACAAAACCCGAGCTGTCTTACTCCCTCGGACTTCCGTGCAGGCGCCTGCCCGTCATACGAACGGCAGACAACGTAATCTTCTTATCTCTTGCCACGGAGATATCCCGGTGATCTCCTGTCTTCCTTGAGGCTTCCTGCCTCTTGTCGTACTGTCTTTTGTTGTGCTGTCTTCTGTCATATCTTTCTCTCCAAAAGGCATGCCGTGACGAACATATGGAATCCCGCAACATGTTAGTTGTCCATCTACTCTCAAGATCGAGGCTATCCAACCAATACGATCCGGTCACATGGTACGCGCAATGTTTCACAACATCCATTCGGTGATTGCCTGCTCGGAGGATCGTCCTATGTGGAGATCCTTATACATGTGTTCGAAGCTCCTGACTCCACCCTGATCTCCCACCAATCCCTAAACTCATGAGATATCTTCTATTGCCATATGGTCCACTAGGAACTTTACGATCACACGCGATGTCTGGCCGATCAATCACCGTGTCGCAAAGCCGCTCCTATCTTGACAATGTTTCAGGTGTCGCCATGATGGACGCCACGATCAAGCACACGGGAATGTTCTGATTGATGCTATCAGGATTGGAAAATTGGGAACCATTCCTTGCCCTAACATGTTCCGCATACCTCTAACATGATGGAGATTTGGCAAAGGGCTATTTGCCACCACTGTCCCGGCCCGTTCCCGGGAAGCGAGACGTGGAAAAGATGGGGGCACGTCTTGGCGATCTATTGTCTAGCCTCGCCCCATGGACGCTTCTCTGTCATGAGTATGTAACCTCGTAGTTCGCACAGGTTGCACGCATAGATGATGACCTTCGAAAGCTTGACCCAATAGAGTTTGACAATGAAGCGGTTCCTGTGGTTGCATCACTTTGGCTGAAACGAGATTCATTGGCCGATAGAAGGCCGCATGAGAAGAGTCTGGCCGCTTCGATTCACGTGCCTCGTTAGTGCAGGCTCTCGCGGCCACCGATAATTAGTGTTGATTTGCCTTTGCATCGGTCGGCTTTCCGGGGGGAAACTCAGGGAAATGGGAGTTAACGCTCAGGGATATGGGAGTTAACGCCTTGGCACTGTGGTCATGACGTTACTGTTGTTCGATGAGCCCGCGGCGGAGGCCAATTACTTGGAGATGACTGATCAATGACCGCCGGGTGGTATTTTACACACTAGCACCCGCGAAGCCCATCCGGACTGGGTAGGTAGGATAAATTGTGTGAATACATACTAAGGGTCGTATGACTGAACTAAAGGTGTGATTAGGTTTAGATACACAAATAGCTGAGTCAGTATTATACAGGAAGAAGACATGATACACAAGGAAGGGTTAACGTTGACCATTCCGAGTAGGGGGATCATAATATCTGTATTGTATGAAGCAAGAATAGATGCCGCGGAACTATTCCGCAATTCACCCGTTCCTGAGTAGTGAGACCTCATACAAAATGATTGTTCTCTCTCTGCTCAAAAACGTGATAAGCTTAAAACCTTTTCCCTTTAATATCATTGGCTCACCGTATGTGCAGCCGGCGGGGGACCTGGGGGCTATGGGTAGCGGCATGAGTGTGGAGCATGGTTTGATGGAGATGCTACTACTTACCGAGGAGTAATGTGTTTCCTGCGGCATGTTGGCTCCTTCTCCTTTCACATAGGGAGGGGGAGGGGGCTGTGATCCAGGATACTCATTATCGTATGGATTCATGTTTGCGGTATTGGCCGGGTGACCAGGTGGAGGTGGAGGTGCATATGTCTGCGCTCCATGCCATATTGGAAGTGAGTAAGGTGGACCTGGTTGAGCATTCGTCGGGGGCTTGGTGACGAAAGGCATCGAACGATGTCGACGTCGAATCGTAGCTACACAGCATACTACGAGTAATAAGAATAAAAACACGATGCCTGCAGATTAAAATTATCCCTATCGTTCGGTTGATGCTCTTGATAACGGTCAAGAATATCTCACCGACTACAATCCCAGCGATCCGTCCACTCCAATTGTAGTTATACGTATCAGAAGCTTGTGCATACGCAGAGGATGACAGGCAGAGAAAAACAGCAATTAGTTGAGTTGGATTGTGGTTCATGATGGTACTGATCATGAAGTGTGTTTCAGTGTCCGAACAGTTTCTTACAGTATGCGCAGTTCAAGCGCAGTTCAACCGTGCAGTCCGGGTTGGAATTACGTCATTTGGAGGTAATGACGCTAAATAGCCAGGAAAGGAGATTTGCGAGAACTAAGTCCTGGAAATGAATTCAGGGCCGCAAAAATTTAGTCCGGGGAGCGCATCGACACTATAGCTAGCTAGGCTCTGCCGCCAGTCGAAGCAGAAAAAATCGGTTCCATGCCTTCTGGAACCGCAATAAGTTGTTTCTTCTGAGCCACGAGCTCCAGACTCCATGGCAGGAGACTAGGCTCTAAAGCCCTCGGATTTACCCCTTTCCGTCAACCTCAATGCCCCCTTCCACCCGAAACACGTTCAAAGGCTATACAGAGTGTGTTGCGAGCACTTGCGCAGCACAGCGTGCACAGAAAGACACACACTCCTATATGATAACAGTTAGCCAAGCAAAGACAGCACCAGTGCATCGCAGAGAGAAAAGCACAAACGGAGGTCACCAGAGAATTCAGCATGCCTCGTGATAGATACACGAGAAAAACGATCAACAGGAAATTCAAGTGGTCTAGCGGCTTCGATGACATACAGATCGAAACGATGGTTTAGTCATTAGTTGCTTCCATTGTGATACTGAAACGGTACTTCAAAAAATTCCGATTCCATGAGTCAGGCCATCCTCGTAAAGCTGCTCGTCTCATCTAGCTGTGCGTTTCAAATCTTCGAAAGGGTCGCTTGCGGCAAAGATGATAGGGATAATGCATCGAAAGTCCCTCCCCTTGGGGATCTTCATTCGACGCAACCGCATGTAGCCATAAACGCTTCTAGATACTCGCATTTACCGATCGAGGGGGTTATAATCAAAATCAACGTCTCGCTAGTGGAACCAGCCTAGTCCGCAAGATTTCACCATAGGCTCCGTGCAGGGTATCAGAATACATAAACGAAATGACGCATGTACACGCACACCTAGCTGATCAAAGGTTGAGCATGTCACAAAACACATCGTAAGGTGTTTTGTTCTTGTGCTCGGACGATCCTCCTCCCAGGACCCCCTCTATCTTCTCCCCGAGAGAGGGATGATATGTCTTTGAGTACATTCAGTGTGCGAATGGACGGCCGGCAGGTGAGAACGCGAAGAAGAAAGGCATGGTTCTGATCGAACGTACACACGTTCATGAGGAACAAGCGGCACGTGGTTAGGTTGTCAGTGGGAGTTGATCAGGGCGGCAGGACCCTCCAGGTCGAGATGATCTTGTAAAGGAAATCCGGTTTCATCGTATACACAATCAATGCCAACTGGGTCATGGGAAGAGAATATCGGGAAAGGGGTAAGATGCTATGATTCGTGTCAGTAGAACCAAACGAGACGAACATATCTTCGAATTCGAGCTCCCAGCCTAATGCAAACAGGTCACTTGGTTTTTATGTTGACTTGCTAGATCTGACATGGACGTTTCGGAACAACGTGGGACAGTCACCTGCTGTCACGTTTGAATCTATTTCCGAATCGTTGAACACACCTCGCTTCAGCACTTACAATCATTATGATCAGCGATTAATGATACAAACCTGGTCCACAGTACTTCGACTGTTCAGTTGCCTATACACTGTTTGCTTGAAGGTCAGTACTAGTTGAAGGATCAGGTCGAACGTGAACTCACTGATCGGGATTTTTATTGTAAGTTTGGAAAGGAGCCCATGACATAGACCTCAGAACATGATCCGATTTTGTACCTGCTCCATCATCATCTTAGGTCAAATTCTCCAGACTTCCACACGCTTGACTCTTTCAGCAGCTACAGCCAATCTCTTCCACAATCGCGCTTTATATCACAAAAGCGCAGTGTTGGGCTCGAATTCACAACAATCACCATATATGTCTAAGCCCGACTTCATATCCTGGATGCAATCCCACCTCGGCGCCCTCTACGAAGCGCGAGAGGACGAGGTATTTGCTAACGCCTTCGATACTGCATTCTCCCCCTCTTGCGAGGTCCGTGTGAACCATGCACCTTCGACACTTGATGCTTTGAAGGATAGCGTCTCATCGCGCAAAGCCGCCGCCAAAGGAGTTGCACTCTCTTGGGAGAACGTTATCTCCACTGGTAATCGTCCGGACGAAGTGAGTCTTTATGCCCAACATTATGGTATCGCTATCAATCTATCAATCGCCTATTGATAGCCCTCGGTGGTTGCCGGAACTTTAATCGTCACTCGTAGCATGATGTTCCGCGTTCGCGCCGCTCCTGCTGAGCGTCTGACTCACATCAACTTCAGTGCAAGGTATGATTTAAATTGCTTATAACCCTGCTGTCCCTCACATTTTAACTCTAGGGTGGAACCTTTAGAAGATTCTACCGTTCAGGCAGATGAAAACGATGACCGTCGCCGCATTACCAGCCTCTATCTTACCTCGGTGGACTCAGCACCAGCGATTCACTTCGTGACACCCCATCCAGTCAGTCAAGAAAAGAAGAAGTAGACTTACCAAAAACACGAGTAGGAGCCCTTTGCTATCTGTATCAGTAATGACCGCATGGTGGATGCTCATCCACAGATTTCCGAATAGATAGGATTGAATCGTTACAGTCGAGTGGCTTTTGCACAGTTCTGAGCCAGCCGCGTGAGGGGTATAACGTTGTGCTGGGTTTGAAATTTGCACTGGTTCTAATTAAAGTCCACACCTGCTCAACGCCTCACGGTACGCTCCACACATTCGAAGCAGTGGTGGGGAGCCTGGTGGTAAGTAGTGCAGTTCCCTTGTGAGCTAGGTATGCTTGTTGTTCATCCTGCAAGTTGCTGTGATGTCTGCCTTGATCCCTATTCCATCTCCTCAGAAGCTGCTCATTCTCCACATGCAATTGCCTGTGGCCACATATTCTGTCTCACGTGCGTTCCTACTCCAAGTTATGTTACTCCCAGCAATCATGTTTCTCCTCTTGTATGCGACCCTTCAATCCCAGATGCCTTCGCTCCTTGTCCCTAAGTGCATGTCCTCTCTGCCGCGAACCTTTCCGGCCAGATCGTGTCAAGAAACTCTACCTCGCCAATCCATCCAAACAAGACGATGCTGAACAAGATGCTGAACAAGATACTAACGATGATCAGCATGCTAGCCTCCTTTTGCATCGTGTGTCTCTAGTCTCAGGCGAAGACACGCCCGACGCAGAAGCTGTCAACGTAGTCGCCGAGGTGCAAGAATGGCTGAAATCTCAATCGGGTAATCTAAATTCTGTGAGTCCTTTTCATTGTGCGGACGCACCGCCAAGGCAACGTTTGCTGCCAATTTCTCACATACGGCACTTTTAGCATATCCCACTACGAGCTGCGGTAACCTCCCTCCAGCGAATCAAAGCTCTTCAAGACCAGATCGAGCGCGAAAAAGCAGAATGTTGTCGCCTTCGTGACAAGCTTCGTACCTGCAAACTTTACGCAGACCTCGACTTCAAAACATCTCGCGTAGTTGAAGAAGGTCTCCTTTCTAGGATCCAGAAAATAGAGAATGAACATGCTCTGTGAGTCTCCGCTTGTAAGCAAACGAGTATGTTCTAAAATAAGTTCTCTGCAGAGAGGTGATCATTTGATTGAGCGGCATTCATGTTTGACTTACATTGCGTCCTTGTAGCTGTCACGATTGCATTCTCAGCTGGAAATCCTTGTAAAATCTCAACCTCGATGCTCTAACACCAACAATCTCCTCATCCCTCAGCCAATTCAATCTCCTCGTGCAGTGGATTTGGATACCCACATACGAAGGGGACACAATAGTGAGTCCCTGTCCTCTGTACTATCGTACTTTACTCAGTTGCTGTATTTGTATTCCTCAGTCGCCTTCTCATTGATTATTTTCGTCGATATCATCGAGGTATATCCACTTCTTATTTCAATGGCTAAATAATAACCCCTTATGGCAGTTCGCGATATCGACCTGGCTCACATCACAATTTGATGTTCATCATAACTACTTCAGTCTAGCTGGACGAGACTGCACTCATTTTCTATTGTTCACTTCAACATGGACGCTCATATACTCTAGTTACCGCATTTTCTTCTTCTTTCCTCCTCCAGACAGTATCTTGGGTAGTATGGCTTGTCATATCTTCTTGTACGTAGACCTCCTTTGGAGCGAGTCAAATTTGCTGACCAACTCGCTATAGCCTGTGCCTAACATGGGTCTTCTGGGCCGTGAGCGCTGCAAGTTTGACTGCAGCTCTTAGTGGACAACTGAATCGCAAGTTGGTACATCTTCCTATTACTCATCGTTCTCCTTGTATCTTTTTAGTGCCCAAAGCCTTTTCGTGTACAGCGGTCAACTTATCGCGCTAGATGTCTTCGCTTGGGTTATTTTGTATGTATCACGGAATCATTGATACATATCTATTAATATCGTTTCCTTGTTCGTACTTTTATCAGGGTTCTCGTAACTTTTGCAATCTTCGTCGTGCACACCCGCGGCATTCTCGCGTCAAGTCGAGGTGATGGCGCACGCGAGCCGCAGATTGCCTGAAGATTGTCCCCCACTGCCGTGGTTAATACCAGCGCGAAACGTCATCCCTTTTTTCGTTTCTGTTCTATGTACAACTTGGTTCTGCGTACTCTCCTGACGATCTGCTTGCTGTACTAGTATTTCTCCATCTACGTCATGCATTGCCGTTATGGCTATAATCTTCTCATTCCTGGCATTCATAGTTGATACTCATTCCCTCTTACGATCCCATGGCAGGAGCCCCACCTAATTACCAATCTATCACTCCCAGTTCTTTCTATCCTGGCCACCCGTGCCTTTGCGTGTTCAGGCCAACTTTCCGATCTTCGCAATATTCCCTGTCCTTCGAGCTAGAGATATGTCACCAATCTGCATGTCTTTGCATTGAGAATTTTGGCCAAGTCCGTATCAAGATCTAAAAACGTATCCTACACAATTTCGTGCCCATCACTGTTCTCTCATGTATACCCCGTCCACCTAGTAGGACTGACAGGAATATTGTGAATACACAAGTCCCAGCCCTTGGAATGATCATAAACTTACCCGCAATCGAGCCTTCGCCTCAGCAAGGTTACGAGCTGACGACCAGATTTCTACATTTTCCTTCCTATCATCAGACATGGCATAAATGTTCTCCATAATCAGCTGGTCGGCCGTCCGCCCTCTGACGCGCATTAGGGCATGGAGGTATTTCACCACCAGCGAGGGCTCTCGTGAAGGAACCAACTCCTCGAGGGTTTCCCTGTATTCGTTGACGAGATCCTGAATCGCAAGGCTTTCAAGAGCAGAACCGATGATGCAGGTCGACATAACCCTGGCGTCAAGTAGTGGAACTACAATGCCCCTTGAGTAAATTGATGTCAGTCGAACGGATCGTCTGCCTCTGTAAGAGACTTACGCCGTTATGCGGGTCAGACCACGGTAAAAATCAAGCGCATTCTAGGCAAGATTGAATGATTACGGTCTATCATGGACCTTGGTATGTTCTTACATGAAAGCGACTCAAGCTTGGTTCGCAAGCGACGAAGTGCTAAAAGATGCATGTCGACAAATAGAATGTGTTGAGAAAGAGAAACACGCACTAGAGTAATCTTCTTCTGGAGCATCTCTCTCGCCAGATCAAGAGGGTCCGGAACTGGAATGTATGCATTCATTCAGAATTCTGGAGTTCTCCACGACGAACGGCAACGAGTTCTCACCACCTGGTACACCGTTGGGCCAGTAATCGCCCTGAGATCCAATACCGTGGGGCGGAGCATCCGATACTAACACAGCGACCTTGTTGCAGTCATTCCTCCACCCCATCGTTAAAGCTCGAGCTAGAGCCGCCGTTGAGGCCTCTGGTCCATCTCCCCCACCGTCAGCACCAGGAAGACTTCTCAAATTTGCGTGAATTCGAGCGATATCTGACACAAAGTCCCATTGGCGGGTAACGAAAGAGTCCTCCTGGGGATAATGATCACGAAACCCAATAAATGCGACGCGAAGATCGCCCGGGTGAGCTGAATTCAAATGATCCGATCCCAGTATCTCTGCGCAGATGGTATTAATGGATGATTTGACTGAGTCTATGTATGGTTGTTGGCTGCCAGTGAGATCCAGGATGAATAGCAAGTCACTGTACAGAAGTTATACACGGTCTCGAACTATGGGAAAATGGACGAAGCCTCACTCACAGCTTAAAGCCATGTGTACGCGAAGGAGGTACACTTTTCTTTGTTGCAGGATCCATCAGATACGTGTATATCACGCGCTTGACCTATGTATGACATCGAATGACCATGTATTCTTTTCAGCATACCGAAAAACACATACTAGGTCCTCGGATACAGGTGCTTTCCTTGTCTCTATATATGGGAGAGACGATCTTCCGACTGGATAGGCCGTGGAGGTTGACGGGCTGTCGTATGTGTCCGAAACTAAGAGAGCTTGTACAGCCTCTGCCTCTGCTTGAGATATCGTTCTGAAATTTGCAGAATCATCATGAACGACGGCGGTGGACGGGGCCTGTTCGATGTAAAGCTGTGCTAGGAGATTTCCGACTTGTTCAGCCTCGGGTTGGGCAGCCTCAGGGGCAACGTAGCTGATCTGGGGGCGATGGTTGATGCTGTCCTAGATATTGAAAAGGATTGATAATACGTACAGCAAACTCCCTGCCATCGCTGAGTTCCCTATCATCGCTGAGGAATGCCCTGTTATCGCTGAGGTACCCCCTGCTCTCTTCGATAGCCTCCGGCTCTAACGCTGGAGCCATGGTCAGAAGTTCCTCTGTAGGTTCTGCACTACAGTTCAGTACCCGCAATGGATGGTCTTCGTGAAACATTGTGACATCCGCCTCCAATGGAACACTTTTCGATCGCTCCCTTGAGAGTTGGAACCGTGATCTTATCTCCCCGCACAAACTCCACTGCGGTAGACTGTTCTTGTAAAGGAGTGCAATCAGCAATCGCCATATCAGTGTGACCTGCCCCCGGGTGAACACCAATCGCTTGAACGTTTTGATCTGTAACCGGGCTCGCATGCAAAGCGCGTACCCCAGCGGTCTGTCCTGGTGGTGCTTTGTGCGAATCAGAGGCACTACAAAGACCATCCGCCGGAGCATCGTCGATTGCCGGTTCACGAGGCGATGTGGCAACCGGAGGCGCGTCTGTAATTCCCGCCCACGTGGGCTTTCCCCCAGAATCAACGACCAATGCTGCCTTGGGAGATTCTGGTGAAGATAGCGAATCGTGTGGACTCGGAGGAGACAGATACACGTCTTTGGCTGACTTATCGTTCAAGCGTGGGCTGTCCGACAGAGTAATTTCAGGGGAGGGTCTTGCCCTTCTGCGTCTGCGATATGCAAGGAACACACAACCACAGACCAGAAGCAGCAGAAGGACTCCCCCAACGACTCCCCCGACAATCGCACCCACCGGAGGTTTATGGGAGCTTGATGATGAACTTGATGATGAACTTGATGATGAACTTGATGATGTATTTGAAGCGCAGGAACCAGCGGCTCCTGTCAAATCGGAGTGTGCTTACTGAAGTCAGCATGCGTTCGTGGGTTCAACAAGGTGGACATACATATGGCAGCAATATCAGATGCAGCTACTGCACTAAATGTCCCATTTGGCCAGTTTTGAGCTGCGGGACAGTCCCCATGAAAGGGTGGTTTAGTGGTCAGTGATTTATGGACGTACGATTGGAGCCCGCGTAACAAGGTAACGAGATATTGGAAGGCAGCGCTCCTGCATCCGGAGGGAAGTATCTTTGACAGATGCTTCAGATCGGATCATCAGGGGCCGTGTCATACCAGTTGAACTCACGTTGTTGTCGACGTTATATTTGTGGGACAATTGGTTATCCACTCATCCCAGCTGCACTCTGTTGGCTCATATATACATCTAATATCGAAAGACTTACCTCACTAGTGAAGGTGACGAGGAAGTACAGAACATACAGGCGCTAAACAGGTTGTAACTCGCCCAGGAACTGTTTATTATGACACCGTTATTTACCAAGTCATATATGTGCATTGAGAGCCTACCATGTGCATGCAGTCACATTTAAGCCACTCGGGATAAACGCTTGCTCAGAAGAGATGGGGGAGATGATAGGGTCTAGAGTAATTTAAGCGCTGACCCATGAAACCGTTGAAAAGGGCTTACATATACATGAGCATCTCTTGTTCACCTTCTGGAACACTTCGCATGGCGTTTGATTTTTCGTGTTTTCGGACCATGATGGACAGATAGAAATTGACATTCGATCTAAGACAAAAGGTAGGCAAAATAAGCTGTGAGTATTGTGGCACAGAGGGGGAGATGCTTGCATAAGGATGGAAAGAAGGAGTGCTATATGAGGGATTTCGCACTGGCATGCGAAGCTAACAACCAGACTTACCATATATCCAGATCCATTGAAGCCTCATGAACAATTGAGTTTTTTATGCGATGCCAATGGAATCGGACCGAAACATGGTTCTTCTGTGTGCGCAAATCAACACTTTTAGAAATTGTCCTCCTGAAGGACCTACTGATATATGTAAGTGGTCGTACGATATGATATGCACGAACTTACAATCGCAAGAATAGATGGCACGGTAGCAATCTTGGTATGAGGCCCAATCAATTTGAATTCCGTGAAAAATAACTCATGGATTGAGTGGTCGCGGAGATAGACACGAAGCTGTCTAGGACCCTAGGTAGATAAAAAAGGGAGATAAGGAACGACTGTTGTCATGTGTCAGATCTATGGTTTGTACTGGTGAGACTAAAGGGGAGAAATGGCGCGACTATTCAGTTACTCGCAGGAACGTGGTGATTATCGAATACGTAACGGGCCCACTATAAGTCACGTTCACCAGGTTAGGTTGTACTTACCTCAATTCTGCAAGCAAAGGGCTGTTGTTAGTCCTTGCGGAGCCGATGAAGCAAGCACCAACGTTGATAAAAAATCACGTGCATATTTTGTGGTTCTCGTTGCGGATGAGGACGCGACGGTATGATACCAGCTGACTCTGGCACATCTTCATTGATAGAATGTATTCCAGCTATATTTGTTCAGATCGCAATGGTCCTTGCAAGCTTCTTCGCCAGGCCAGTAGCTCATTGGATGAGAAAGACTTCTACAATACACGTTCGCTCATATACAACATAACATACATATGCAACAAATCAAAAAACTTCCTCGACGTGTTTGTGAGCACGAAGAACACGTACACCTGAGTAGCTCACCACTAAAATACGAAGGACGCAGAAAGCACAAGCTGAAATGTGTTAGCATAGTCAGCAATCTCAAATGGCAAGCATTGTTTGTATGACTTACAAAACTATCAGCAGGTTTAAGCTTCATCTGCCTGGCTAGCTGTCTGATTGCCTCCAGGTCGCGCATTGAATTCAATTGTAGTCGCCGATCGGTTGGTGGGTATGAGCGGTTGCGCCATGCTTTCTTGGAGATTGAACAGTATTCGAGAAGCAAGAACACTGTGCGCAACAATTTGGAGTCTGAAATGAGGAATCTGAGCTTTCGATGACATATATACTTGACCAGACTAACGTATTTAGCGTTTCGCTGTATGAGAGCTTCAGGTTTTACTCAGTTCTTTGAGGTCAACCAAAGCGAAGAAAGAACTCACGGGCAACACAGCGATAACGATCACATTGATTGTAGATATCACTACAGGGATGTCAGCATGAAATCAATGGTAACAATGGCCTTGATACTTGTGATGCATAACATGTAGAGTAATCCATCACGATAAACACTCTTCATCAACGTACTATGAGAACCCAGGTAGTGTCGATATCTCAAGAATGCAGTGGTGGACATGAGAACTGGAAGTAGATGATCAATTAAGGAATTTTGAATCAGATGGTCGCCTCACCTATCTCGAAGAACAACAAGAGTGCATACGGGAGGGCGCTGCTATGAGCCCCTTCAAACACACAAGGGGGACCGACTGAAAGAGGATGAATACTAAGACTAAGAAGTGAGACTTGAAGACCTCGCCTCCTGGGATCAGGCTCCAATTGATGGGGGCAGCACTTATGACAACAGACGTCACTAAGATGGCCTGCGCCATATGGGTCAGTGGTGCACAGGGAAATAGAGATATTGATGTACCGAACCAAATGAGAGGATACTTATAAGATAAGCCTTTTTGTTGCCAGAGAAGGCGTAGACCCTGAAAATCAACAAAACTGTCGTGCGAGTGTAAATGCACGCTGTAACGTGGTATGCAAAAGTCAACCTTCTGCGGCAATGATGCTCAAGAAGTGTAGGCCTGCGAAATGTCATTTCCCAGTCATGTCGTGAAAGCAGTTTGGACCAACCATTTAGAGCATCATTAAAAGGTGCACACTATATCTTGATGTGAGTTGCAATCGGCACTGCACAAATCGTGCACTCACATCTTGCGCGCCCCATGTCTTGATAGCGGCTAGTTAAGAATGAGCTTTTCGCATGGTAGCGCATAGCGGCGTATCTCACAGTACGAAGTCATAAGCGCACAAGCAAAAGGTCCATATCGTGAGAACGTGAAGACGGTCCTAGTGATTCCCCACTTCCGTCCCCAGGTCCATTGGACCTACTAGAAAGATCAGCACCGATGTGTGAGTGATTGATTTGTCTGACTTCAGAGTGTAAGGTGACAAAGTAGTCATAAATCTGGTCATACATCAGAGTTATAACGAGACTGGAGAGACGCAACTTACTAGGATTGTTAATCCAGCGACTTTGGGAGAGTCGTGAGTAATGATAAAACTAGATCAGCCTGACTCGCCATTAGTATACTTCAGTGATTAGAGACATTAGAAAAAGGCTGCACAAAAAGCACGATTAGATTACCTTGGCTAACTGCAAACCGAAGGAGTCCGGGACCGACATTTTCGAGTAGCAATGCAGGTGAGTAGAAGTCTGCAGCAAGCAGTTGCCAATAAGTACTGTGACTCGATCAGAGAATTGGTGAGAAGAAGATATTGACATACACCGTAATATATAGGAAAATATTAGGCTCTCGTCACATTGGAATACAAAGCAACATATGACCCTGTAAAGGCACGACAATCAACATAATCGCCAGCGAGGACTCACCATCTAGAACGTGAAGGTGCCTCCATGGATGATCACGATATAATAATGATGCAAAGATTACGATGAGCATATATGCACATGATCTGATTGGTAGACATTTTACGTTAGTCCGCCAGGGCTCAGCGGCCGGTCATTTTATCGAGAGCTGGCAATGAGCATAATGTACTGGGCTCAAGTAGAAATTGTTCGTCAAATTTCGGGCCCCTCTGGGAGGGTGTCACTGTCGACCTAACCAGTTGCAGCAGTGCGCGTGAGTATCAAAATTATCCAGTCTTCTGGGCCAAAGTTGAAGTAGTAGCCTCCGAACGGTCTTTACGCGTCACTTGGCATAACGTGGTTTGAAGTCTTTTTGCAACTCCGACGAACGCTCTCTGAGTTCCGTGTGTCACGTGTTCAATCAGCTGTCCCAACACTGCAGTATTAGAGCGAGCTCTTTGTGATATTGACTCAATTGTTAGTGACGGCCTTTGCTCGCTATTGTGGAGGAACGATACACGCGGGAGGTTTTACGACACGCTAGAACAAAGGTACGAGTCTCAGTATTCGTTTCGAATCTCTATTAACAATTGTTTGTACCTAGAACAAAGGTACGACTAGATGTACGTCAGCGCTTGCGCTCGAACGTTACAGTGGGACTTGTACTTACGTCTCAGTATTCGTTTCGAATCTGAGACGTTTCGACGAAAACAGCGTCCTCTTATACGGTGAGTCTGCCAGCAATAGCTTTGATGAAAAATATATACTTAAAGAACGAAAAGATTGCCGACGTTGACACGTCGTCGACGTTCTCCGTTTGGAGACGCTCGCACTCGATGTGCTCTATTCTTCGGCCGTATCGTCCTTTCCTTTCTCAGCTCTCTCTCTCTCGGCCTTACTTCCCTCGGACACATCGGCTCTCAACACTCCCCCTCGAGCGTTATCCAAACACATCAATGTCCTCAACCTCTGGAGTCGGGGACGTGCCAATGGCTTCGTGAACGCGTCCGCGACATTGTCGTCACTGGGGCAGTAGATTATCTTGAAGGTACCGTCCTTCACGTGGCCGCGTACGAAGTGGTATCGCAGGTCTATGTGCTTGGTGCGCGATTGGAATTTTCCCGTCGAGACTAACGCTATAGCAGCTTGGTTGTCGCAGAAGATGGGTGTGGGGAGGTCTTGGACGTCGTAGAGCTCGCGGATGAGGAGTTGCAGGTAAAGTACTTCCCTTGCCACGCTGGTCAACGCTATGTACTCAGCTTCAGCTGTTGACAGGGCTATGATAGGCTGTTTGCGCGCGCTCCACGAAACGGGGCCTCCATGGAGCAGTACGATGTACCCGCTCATGGAGTGCCTATGTGGCTGCGATGCCCAATCGGCATCGACAAACGCCTCAATTCCTCCCTCGCTGGATCCCAACGTCAGCTCATAGTCTGCGGTGCCTTTCAGGTACCGCAGGGCGCGTTTGGTGGCCTCCCAATGGGGTCTCCCCGGATTCCTCATAAATTGCGACAGTGTTGCCACCGCAAAAGCGATATCTGGCCGGGTACTCGTAGCTGCGTACATTAACGAACCGATCGCGCGTTGATATGGTATGTCTCGCATAGCTTGGAGTTCGGCGTGTGTTGCAGGGGACTGATCTATGGAAAGGACAGTACCTGGTTCCATGGGCGTGTGCAGGACCTTCGCGTCCTCCAGGTGGAACCTTTCGAGGATCGTCTCGACGTATGCCTTCTGTGAAAGTGTCAAGGTGCGTGCTACGCGGTCCCTCGTCACCTTCAGCCCCAATAACCAGCTCAACTCCCCTAGGTCGCTAATCTCGAAGTGCGCGCGCAGCTCGGACTTAAACCGATGGATATGGGATATATGGTTGGCGGTGACGGCCATGTCGTCGACAGAGACGGTGATGACGACGTGTTCGCGCGAGGTGCGTTTGTAGAAAACGGCTTGATCTACTTTTGACCTGCTGAAGCCCATTTCATTGAAGGCTCCAGCTAGCTCCTGCGCCCACTCATATCCTGCTTGTTTGAGTCCAGGTAAGCTTCTTTTCAGCTTCAGTACCTTCCCTTCCTGACCATCCTTCAAGTATCCAGGGGGCGCTCGCATATATATGTCCTCCTGCAGACTCGCATATAGGTACGCACTTTTAATATCGACTTGGTGTATTTCCCAGTCGTGCTGAGCAGCCATCGTTAGGACTGCACGTATTGTGCTCATATTGGCCGTGGGGGCGAAGGTTTCGAAGAAATCGACCCCGTACTTCTGGCGCTGCCCATTTGCAACTAGGCGCGCGCGAAGCTTCAGCTTCTCGCCGTCCGGCCCGCGCTTTGTGGCCAGGACGTAATGGCATGGGATAAGGTTTACGCCTCGAGGTGCATCTACGATTTCCCACGTACCTAGCTTCTCGAGTTGACTGACTTCGTAATTGATGGCTTCTTGCCACTCTGCAGCGTCTGGGCCCTTCAAGGCTTGTTGGAGGGTCGGTTCTGGTTGGACGGCGGCCAATGCTAGGTGAATATGCGCCTCTTCATCCAAGAGGTCGAGTTCTGACGCTTCCAACAGGCTTTCCATGGTTAGGGCTGCCGTTTGGCCCTCATTCAGCGCCGCATAGTACCCTGGGGGTGGTCTTACCCTCGTCGACCTCGCTTCAGGAGTAGATGGTTGAGGTTGCTGGGCAGTAGACGGTTGAGGTTGCTGAGGAGTAGAAGGTTGAGGTTGCTGAGGAGTAGATGGTTGGGGTTGCTTAGGAGTAGAAGGTTGAGGTTGCTGTGGCATGGTGATGGGCTGGACGCTACTAGGTGAGTTATTATTACCGTTGCCGCTGTTATGTTCGTTGACTACAGCAGACTCCCCCTCGTCCGGCATACCATCGGCTGCCAGGATCGGCGTGAAGGTCACATTCCTCTCCACCGAGACACGCCGTCTGCCGGGCCAATACACCCGGTATCCTTTACTTTCAGCGTCTACCCCCACAAAAACTGCCTCCTCCGCCCTCGCCTCCAGCTTACCAGCCTCCAGCATATGGACGAAGACCCTGGCCCCAAATTCATGGGCCTGCGACAAGTCCGGCTTGGACTTGCGCACCAACTCGTAGGGCGTGCTACCTGGGATCGCCCTTGAAGGTAGGCGATTCTTGAGCCAAGTGGCGTAACTAACGGCCTCGGCCCACAGGTACTTTGGCATATCTCTGCCTAGGAGCATTGCTCTCGCATGCTCGACGAGTGTCCGGTTGAGTCGTTCGGCGACACCATTCTGTTGGGGTGAGTCGTGCACTGTTAGCTGCCGCTCTATACCTTGCTGACGCAAGTATTGATCGAACTCGGCGCTCAGATACTCTCCTCCTCTGTCCGAACGGATTTTGCGCACGCGCACACCTGGTGATTGACGGGCCACCCATGCCTCATAGGACTTGAACGCGGTAAGTGCGTCACTCTTTTGTTTGAGGAACTCGAGTCGCGTCTGCCGGCTAAAGTCGTCCGTGAAACTGACATAATATTTACAGCCTCCCAAACTCGTCGTCTGCGCCGGTCCCCAGAGGTCCGTATGGACTAGTTCTCCGTATGTAAGTGCGCGCATCTTCGTTTCTCTTGGGAAGGACTGCTGAGCTGACTTAGCTTTCACGCAGACTTCACAGAACTGGATGGCGGGCGCCGGATCTATGTCTATGCCCAGGATTAGGCCCTTCTTGACTGCGTCAAGAAGGGCCGCATGTGATACGTGCCCTAGGGCACGATGGACATCATTGATGGTAAGCTTTGTCCTGGCGACGTTGGCACGATGCTTACGGTCGGACGTTACAGCGTAAAGTCCCTGGACTTGGGGTATTTCTGCGATCGTCCTTCGTTCGGGGGGAGCAGACAGTATCCTGCACATTCCTCCTTCGAACAGCACGGCCAAACCGGCGGAGGCGATCTTATTGGTGGAGATAAGGGTAAATGCCATGGAGGGGGCATATAGGACGTCTTTTAGCGTCACGGTCGTTCGTTTCGAGCCCAACGGTAAGTCCATCCTCACGTCTCCTCGTCCTGTCGCATTGACAGTAGCTCCATTCGCAGTGTATATCTTCTGCGGGGCGATCTCAACGAAGGATACAAATTTTGCCCTATCCGGGCAGAAATGAGAGGTCGCGCCGGAGTCTACTATTGCTCCTCGGCGCTCTGGAGGTACGTCCATCGATTTTGCTATGACTGCGAGGTCTGACGTAGCGAAAGCGTAGTTGTCCTTTGGCTCCGGCTCTTTGGCTACATTGGCACTTTGTTTTTGGGTGCGTCCTCCTTGTCTCTGCCGTTGATTCGGCCCCTGACCTTCTTTTCCTCCACCTTTTCGCCAACAGTCACTCTTCCAGTGGCCCTTACGATCGCAGTTCGTACAGACTGCGTCGGGGTTGGATTTTGGAGCCGAGCTCTGCGAGCTTGTGCTCCTCCCTGCATTTGTTCTCGCGGAGAGCGCACTGTTGGTCCCGCGTTTGTTGGGACGTCGTTCGGTGAGTAACCGGTGCTCGTATTCCTCTGTGATGATGGTGATGAGTTCGTAGGGCGAGAGGGGAGTTTTCGTTATCTTGGCCGCTGCGTTCATCGACGACAGTAGCGGCCGGT